TGATAAAGTCATGATTTCGATGAATAAATGTTTCAATCTTTAGCGTTCAGCAAATTGATAAGCTTAATAATCAACGCAAAGAACACTAAATCGCCAATGAACACAAATCGAAGCGAAATACTTTATTTGAGTAGTGAGGAAAATTTCAAATATTAGTGATTATTAAAAAATTGAACAAATTCAAATAATACTTTTTCTAAATGTACTACGTTTATTTTTTTTCTATAGTATTTTCACTATCAAACGTTTGCGGTGATAACGAAATCCATGTTTGCCTTCGCATGGATTAAATCCTCAAGCACTCAAAATTTTAGCATTTATTTTATATTTGGCCAACTATTAAATGCTCCTACTAAATACTGAGGAAGAAGCATGGCAAAGTGTCAAAATAGAGTTAATAGTAAACGGTATTTTATTAAAATCATCGTTAAAATATTTTATTATTTTATTATAATCTTATATTATTAAAATATTTATAAAGCGATCAATAAGCGAAATAATCGTATAATATAGAAGTATTAATTAATAAAAATATAGAGAATTTATGAATTTATTAAATATAAAATTTGAACGAATTTCAACGAAAATTTCTGAAAAAAAGCTGAATAAATTTATAAAAACCATTTGCGCCATTTCGGATGTTTCATTCTTTCATTTCACTTTCCTCGTTAAATATATTCGTTATCATTGTTCGAAGTTGATAAAAATCATTGAATTGCATGGGAACTTTATTTTTAATGAAATTTCTAAAAATAAGATTTAATATAAAAATAAATTTAATATAAAAATAAAAGAATTAATATACGAAAGAAAAAATAATTGGAAAAGAAAAATAGATGTGAAAATAGAAAGCTAAAAGGGACAACCAACGGTGAATCGCTCAACTATTTCATTCATTTTCAAATTTAATCAGAAAAAAAATCATTCTTTTCTTCATTTCCTCCATTCTTCTATTGATAATTTCGATGTTTCACATAGTTTGAATTTGATTTTCATAATCGAATTGTTTAAAGTAAGCTTTGGCGAAATATGGTGGAAGAAAAGCTGAATAAATCCCTCCTTTTCAAATCATATTTCCATGAATATTTTGAGGTATAAAAAGTGAAATATAAGCGATTGCTTCTCATTGTCAAATGATAATGATGTTCTTTGCCATTTTCATTCTTTTCAATCAACCAGTAGATTGTGGTGGTGTAAATATCGTTCAATGCTCGAATGGAGCTGAAGCACCACGTCCATCTCTGCCAGCTGATTATTGCTGGGACTTGGATAGTGCCGCTTGTAATGTCATATTCCCGTAGACTCAAGAAATTATCGACAGCATGCTAAATCCGTATGTGCCAAAATTATTTTTATTCTTAGTTTAAAATTTCAAGCAGGAGAATTAATGACTAATATTTAAGCCAAGTGGCTTATCAAGTACCAGAAGCTTGTGAGCAACCATCTTACGCAGCCCTTAGTATAAAGCAATGCCCACGTTCATGCACCAAATGTTGTTTGACAAAACAGTTCACTTGTTCTAATGGTCAGTTATTCATAAAAACTCAAAAGGAATTCCATTTATAAATTTCAGATTTCCACAGATTTTACCATTACAAAAATTACTGCAAATGCCATAAAGCGATCGGCGTAATGTACCATTGCAGTTAGAATGCTTCACTCATAAGTAGTTGTCAATATTAAACGACAGTGGACAATTTCAAAAAAGAAAATAAAATTTTTTTTCCAGATCCAGTCGCTAATGAAGCGTGCAGCAATTTGAGGTTTGAGACTCACTGTAAAAATCCACTAATCTATCCAATAGTTCTTGCCAAATGTCCGCAAACTTGTGGTCTATGTGATCAACCGGGTGCACTGGGGATGTGTCCAGATAGTTCCGATTTTTGCGCTCATTTGTCTGGTTTCCCCGGCGCATGCAACGATAGCAGAATTGCTCAAACCTGTATGAAAACTTGCAACATTAGAACTTGCTTCTCAACTGCGAAGATAAACGTGTTATCTGTGAAATTAACCCAAATTTTCTTCTCAATTTTCAGATATTCTTATAACTTTTTTCGTGCATTATTTTTAATAAGTGAAAAATTAATTATCCGTTGATATCTCTTCTTGTTTTGCGTATTTAATTATAGCATCCAAAAATAATGTGGAAAATTAAGGCTAAAGCCGTTCCAGCGATAATTGGAAGATTTTGGGCTGTAGGCCAATCTTCAACTCCGAGCTAAATGCTTGGACTTAGTAGATTCCAAGGGCAGCATCATAAATTTCTATCCAGAAGAAGATACTGAATAACTAGGACCCTGCGGGGAGTTTTATTATCCCAGAGCTTTTGTGGAAGAACCGAAGTTGAAGGTGTTACTTACCTTCAAAAGGATTGAAGAAACTAGTTTTTTCATATATTGCAGAATATTTTCCATAAATTTTGAAATATTGGCAGTTAAAGTTTCTAGCAATTTTTTTTTCCCTCACTAGTACTGGTTAAAATCGATCCACTGGCTTGTCGCATTGGGCAATATGCCATGGAGCCCCTTGGCGATGGAAATACAAGTGAGCCGCCAGCATTTTTTTTATAATAAACATGGCTGCCAAAAAATCGAAGGATATGACAGCTTATCATGATAATTATTATGATTATTATTAAGAAATAAAATAAAAAGTAATTGAAATTTAAGAAATATTTTAGCATGAAAACATGATATTATTATTATTATTATTATTTTACATTATTATTATTTTACAATTGACTTTAATCTCTCTTAATTATGCAAATCAAATAATGCAAATTTTAAGCAGTGCAATGGTTTTTTTTCAGATACTCGACAAAAAAAAATGATTTCAATGACAATTGCAATAAAGTTGTCTTAAGACGATTTCATTGCCGCATACACACCAATAGTATCCTTACATTGATGTTGAGACCTGTGGAAAATATGTGAGGGGTGGGCGAATAGAGGATGGATTCTGTAGCTAGCACTAACAATTATTAGAAGTAGGATAATTCAATTAATTTAGGAGGTGCTAAAATTTTCGGTTACTGTTAAATGAAGGGCAAAAAACAATGTAGATTTGTGAGCCTGTAGATTCTAAAGCATTAGAATTGTTTTGCATATGTATATATTAATTTAGGTGAAGCATTATTAAACACCGATTTAGTGCATATTGTTAAATTAAATTATGAATTGAATTAAATTGAATAATTTCAAGATTATTATTTAAAAATCTCTTCTCATCCAATTTAGATGGTTTGAATTTCGAGCCATCATCGTTACTGTCGTATTTTGGAGCAATGGTTTGAGAAGGTGAGAGTCTTGTGCAGTATTTTAGTTGTTGTGAACAGTGATATGATATGATATATGTGATATGTTATGACAGTGATATTTAATTTATTACAATTTTTCTGGGAAATCGGAGGAAAAAAATGTTAAAAATTTGTGGACATTTCTCAGCCTTAAATAGACAATCGAGTTTTTTTTAAAATATATCAATGTGACCTGAGGAAACCGCAAATCGTGCAAGAAACTTCCATAATCTCCATCAATATATGAAATAAAACTTAGTACAAAACGAATCATGAAAAAGACTTCAGTTAGCAAGTAAAAAGTAATAAAGACCAGATAAACATTCGCTTATTAAGTTCAAAAGTCCCATTTAAAGATAAAGAGCAAATAATTTAGCATTTTATCCCAACTTATTCCATGCAACAACTTCTTGTTGCATATTTAAAATCTGAAAAAAAGCCTTAAATTTCAAATGAATAAACCAGAAAGGCCAAAAAAAGTTCCATTTTACTTGCTTCAGAGAATGTTCAACGATCATACATTCTATAATTCAATAATATAAGGAAAGTTCATTTTCGACATTTACTTCAGCAAATATTAGTGATTATTTAAAAATTGAACAAATTCAAAGAATACTTTTTCTACGTTTATTTACGTTTATATACTAAATGTACTACGTTTATTTTTTTTTCTATAGTATTTTCACTATCAAAAATTTTGCAAACGTTTGCGGTGATAACGAAATCCATGTTTGCCTTCGCATGGATTAAATCCTCAAGCACTCAAAATTTTAGTATTTATTTTATATTTGGCCAAATATTAAATGCTCCTACTAAATACTGAAAAAAAGAACCACGGCAAAGTGTCAAAATAGAGTTCACAGTAAACGGTATTTTATTAAAATCATCGTTAAAACATTTTATTATTTTATAATCTTATATTATTAAAATATTTACAAAGCGATCAATAAGCGAAATAATCGTATAATATACAAGTATTAATTAATAAAAATATAGAGAATTTATGAATTTATTAAATATAAAAAATATTGAAAAAAATTTTTTGTACTTATTAGTAGATAAAAAGAAGGAAGTTTCGTTCCAATGTGAAAATTTGAACGAATTTCAACGAAAATTTCTGAAAAAAAGCTGAATAAATTTATAAAAACCATTTGCGCCATTTCGGATGTTTCATTCTTTCATTTCACTTTTCTCGTTAAATATATTCGTTATCATTGTTCGAAGTTGATAAAAATCATTGAATTGTATGGGAACTTTATTTTTAATGAAATTTCTAAAAATAAGATTTAATATAAAAATAAGTTTTACATAAAAATAAAAGAATTAATAAAGAATTAAAGAATTAATGAATAAAAATAGAAGAATTAATAAAGAAAAAATAATTGGAAAAGAAAAATAGATGTGAAAATGGAAAGCTAAAAGGGATAACCAACGGTGAATCGCTCAACTAATTCATTCATTTTCAAATTTAATCAGAAAAAAAATCATTCTTTTCTTCATTTCCTCCATTCTTCTATTGATAATTTCGATGTTTCACATAGATTGAATTTGATTTTCATAATCGAATTGCTTAAAGTAAGCTTTGGCGAAATATGGTGGAAGAAAAGCTGAATAAATCCCTCCTTTTCAAATCATATTTCCATGAATATTTTGAGGTATAAAAAGTGAAATATAAGCGATTGCTTCTCATTGTCAAATGATATTCATGTTCTTTGCCATTTTCATTCTTTTCCATCAACCAGTAGATTGTGGTGGTGTAAATATCGTTCAATGCTCGAATGGAGCTGAAGCACCACGTCCATCTCTGCCAGCTGATTATTGCCGGGACTTGGATAGTGCCGCTTGTAGTGTCATATTCCCGTGGACTCAAGAAATTATCGACAGCATGCTAAATCCGTATGTGCCAAAATTATTTTTATTCTTAGTTTAAAATTTCAAGCAGGAGAATTAATGACTAATATTTAAGCGAAGCGGCTTATCAAATACCAGAAGCTTGTGAGCAACCATCTTATGCAGCCCTTAGTATAAGGCAATGTCCACGTTCATGCACCAAATGTTGTTTGACAAAACAGTTCAATTGTTCTAATGGTCAGTTATTCATAAAAACTCAAAAGGAATTCCATTTATAAATTTCAGATTTCAGATTACCACAGATTTTACCATTACAAAAATTACTGCAAATGCCATAAAGCGATCGGCGTAATGTACCATTGCAGTTAGAATGCTTCACTCATAAGTAGTTGTCAATATTAAACGACAGTGGACAATTTCAAAAAAGAAAAGAAATTTCTTTTCAGTTGCAGTTGCGAATGAAGCGTGCAGCAATTTGAGGTTTGAGACTCACTGTAAAAATCCACTAATCTATCCAATAGTTCTTGCCAAATGTCCGCAAACTTGTGGTCTATGTGATCAACCGGGTGCACTGGGGATGTGTCCAGATAGTTCCGATTTTTGCGCCCATTTGTCTGGTTTCCCTGGCGCATGCAACGATAGCAGAATCGCTCAAAGCTGTATGAAAACTTGCAACATTAGAACTTGCTTAACAGGTAAAATATTTTATAGCGAAATTTGGTCGAAAAAAAAGAGGAATATTGCTATCTTAAAAAAAGCCTCATTGATAAGTGCCTTCGATATGTATTTATTTAAAATAAACTTTAATAGAATGAGCATTTTAGGCTCAACAACAGCCTCACCAGCGATTCCATTTCCATTTCAAGTTTGCGAAGATAAACGTGTTAAATATGGAAGTTATGCGCCCTTCTGCAACCATCCAAGCTATTCATCGGTTTTGTATGCAGTTTGCATGCGCACCTGTAATCGTTGCTAATAAAATTTCATGTTTGGCATGAAATTTAAAATATTTTATTAAAAATGTTTTTTTTAAGCTTATCAAATGGTTATAAGCGATTATTGCGTGCGAACATTACGCTCTTTTCCTAATTTTTTATATAGAATTTTTTCA